AACCTCTCTCTCCCTCTCCCCCCTCTCTCTCCCTCTCTACCCCCTCTCCCCCTCTCTCCCTCTCTCGAGACCTACAACCACAACCTGAAACAGTTCCCCATCATTTGTCACACATCATGTAGTTTTGATCGTGTCGAAATACATCTCATCTCGACATTCCAATCAATACCGCCGGTTTCATTAATGTTGTCTGTTTTCTTTTCTTTCTTTCTTTCTTTCTTTCTTTCTTTCTATCTTTCTTTCTTTCTTTCTTTCTTTCTTTCTTTCTTTCTTTCCCCTGGTTCCACGGCAATAGGCTCTTAGCTTTTCTTTCTCCCATGACTCATCATCCTTGAATCATTACGTCTAAGCCACGTGAAACATTTGTGAGTCAGCACGGTGGAATCAGGCTCTCGTAAATTTTTGAGCCTGTAGAGTTATTGGTATTGTCTTAAAGCTTATTCACTTGTCTTTATTTAGATTTAAAAATATCCATTTATCTTGAATACAAGGCGAGATATTTAAAAATGAAGGAGGTGGGGGTCACCTGTTTTCAGAGGTAAAATGATTGAGAAAATGTCCGCCAAAGATTAGTTATTTCCTTAGCTTAAGGGTCCGTGGTAACTGAAAATTTACATTTTTTTGTGCCTTTAATCAACGTTTTTTAGAAAAATGTTCTCAGAAATGAGTTCTTTAATAGGCATGAAAGGTGTTGAGTAAAAAAAAAAAATGATAAAAATTCATAAACCTGCCGAAAAAAGTGTCTTCACTTACATTATTTTGACGAGAGCCTGATTCCACCACGCTGCTTCAAATTTCTTTTATAATTTCATACAAATACATTGTATAAACTCAACCACTAAATTTAACGTATCTATGTCCATAGGGCTAAAATCTGAGAAGTAACTCATTTTGTCAGCACACCTCATAAATGTGCGGTATACAAGGACACTCACGCTTTGGAAATCACCAATCTGTGCTGGTCATTTTCTCTCAAATTTTACCTGCTGACACTGGAGGACCTCCACCTCTTTAAGTGGCAAATATCTCGACATCTATTCCAAAAATAGATGGGTATTTCTAAACAGAAAAGCAATACGAATAAACAAGCCTTAAAATGATACCAGTAACTCCATGCGGCCAAACGTTCATATTATGCGCCTATTTCCACCACGTTTTGATAATTATATTTCTCATTTTGTTTATCGTTTATTTCGTCTTATAAAAACACAATGCAATAGAGCAATTGGTGTCCCCTAATTATTGGAAATAATAGATTACAAAACGGTGTGGTGTGGTGTGGTGTGGTGTGGTGTGGTGTGGTGTGGTGTGATGTGGTGTGGTGTGGTGTGGTGTGGTGTGGTGTGGTGTGGTGTGGTGAGGTGTGGTGTGGTGTGGTGTGGTGTGGTGTGGTGTGGTGTGGTGTGGAGTGGTGGGGTGTGGTGTGGTGTGGTGTGGTGTGGTGTGGTGTGGTGTGGTGTGGTGTTATGTAGTTTGGGTGGGGGAGGGACATAGAGAGACAGAGAGGGAGAAAGAAAGAGAGGGGGTGATAGATAGAGAGATAGAGAGAGAGAAAAAAGAGAGAATTTATTTTTTTTGGTGGGGGGGGGGGGAGGAGAAAGACGAGGACAGACTGACAGAACGACAGACAGACAGACACACTCACACACACACCCACACAGACACACACACACACACACACACACACACACACATACACACACACACACTTACACACATACTCACACGTATTACACATACACATATAAACACACACATACACAGACAAAGACCCCTATTTCAGGAATGTCCCTGTTAGGGATTTGAACTGGGGTCATCCAAACTGTAGTACAGCCTGACACCAAGTGAAGTGTCATCAAAACTCGTATTACGTATTCATTGGACTGGCAACATTTGTGATTCAAAGCCACAATTTCATTTTTATTTAAAACATCCAATTAATCAAACCAACATTTTTGGGTGCTTCTCATTTAGCCTTGGTTGAAAATGACGTGATCTGTTTTTCCATTCCTTTGTTATATTTTGAAAGCAGCTTTCGTTCAGCTGGTATTATGGTGGGCTACAGAACTCATCGAGTGGGTGGTTGGCGGGTGCTCTGGTGTTGTTTGCTTCTTCTTTCCTATCAAACATCTATCGTCCTTATCTCCCCTTCTTCTTTTTAATGTTTGTTACTCTCTTGTAACACCTCTAATCTTCTGGTGCTTATATTACCTTATGCAGTTGCGAGGGCAGCAAAACCTCTACTAAAACTTTTTTTAAAGAACTCATGGTCCTGGTTCGAACCTGCCCCCCCCCCCCCCCCGTCCACCCTAACGTGCTGTTTTATCGAGTTTTGACAATCATTATTCATCTGGCAGGGAGAAATTTGTGAAGCGTACTGACAAAATGAGTTACTTCTCGGATTCAAACATTAGGGACAAAGGTGTTGGCCTATCACGCGTATAGGTGAAGTTTTTAAAAATAGAATTTATTACATTGAAATAAATAAAGGCATGTTATAGTTAAAAGTATATAATCTGACTTAAAAAGATATTCTACAAACTTTGACACCGGTGATGATTAGTGACCAATATCTCCATATGTGGATTGTGAGAAGTAACTGATTTTGTCAGCATTGTGAGAAGTAACTGATTTTGTCAGCATTGTGCGAAGTAACTCATTTCGTCAGCACGCCTCACATTTTGTCTTGGTCGTGTGCAATGGCTCTCCACCAATTTGACGCGCTCCTGTCGAAAGTGAACGGTCAATGAGGAGATACTGAGCCTCTTGAAAACACCCTACAGCGTTCAACCGAAAAGATTTGCTAATTTTTTTTTCTTCTCTTTCACCTTTCAGACGACTCGAGGAATTCTCTCAATGGAGTCCACGACATAGATTTTATCGACCTGGACGACCCCATCCCTTCCCTGTCGCTGTCAGACATCAACTCACAGACTGACGAAGTGAAGATCAGCACGGGTCAAGGCCACATCGTCATGGCTGGGCCGAGGAATGACGTCATTGTTGATGACGAAGAGTTCTTCTCCTCCGGGTCGGGCTCAGGGTCAGGAGATTTGAGTGACGTCACAGATCCGCCCCCGCCCCCTGTGATGACGCCCACGTCCAAAAAGACGTCCAAAAAGTTAGAGGCGGGCTCGCTCAAGTTTAAAGTTGTTGGTGAGTAGGCTCAGGTTATTGTTTCAGTTTATTGTTGCACAGCTGGACACGTGTTTGCGGGTTTGGAAAGTGTTCTATTGTGGTTAGCTTCTTTAAAAAAATGTAATTTCCTTTTATAATTTATTTCTTTGTTCAAGACGTATTGATTGTAAAGGTTGTTTTTTTTTTTTAGAGTAGAGGGTTTTACGGCGCTCGCAACTGCATAAAGTCATATGAGCGCCAAGGGGTGGATGTCAACAGAGAAGTCTTTACAGGGAATCAGACTGACTGCTCACCTCTCTAGCTTCAGCAGCACAAGGTTTGCTTCAACTATCAAGGCACCCCGGAAATAGCAGGTCACAAGAGAGTGACAAACATACAAGGGAAGTAGAGGAAAATGTCAATAGTAAGGATCAGGAAAGAAAAAGCAGCTGTTCCCTGTTGTAGATCAGGCACAGTTATGAGCGTGACATGAGTCAGCCCATTTACAATTCTACTATACTACTATGTTTGAACGAGAAATGTCCCCCTTTTGGGAATGGCCTAAAGACACTGCTGTCAGTGGCACTGCCCCGTGGGGTATTGTAAGGTTTGAACTCGCAGATATTAAAGTTGATGAGTAGGTTTGGGTTATTGTTTCAATTTATTATAGCACTTCTGAGCACTTGTTTGGAGTGCTTTGGAAGGCGCTCTAGTGTGAGTAGCTTCTTTTGAAAGCATGAAATTTCCTTTTAACTGTATTACTGCATTGTCAGCTGAAACTTAAAGATGTTGGAGAGTAGGCCCTGGTGATTGTTTCAGTTTATAATTGCACTGCTGGACACGTGTCTAGGGGGCTTTGGAAGGTGCTGGAGTGTGGTCTGCTCCTCCTTCTTTAATGTTATTTCCACTCCTCCCCCCACCCCAAAACACACTGTGTTCATGGGGGGGGGGGGCGTTATTGTCTAGATTATGATCATCATTTTATTATTGTTGTTGTTATTATTATTATTATTATTATTATTATTATTATTATTGTTATTATCATTATTATTATTATTGTTATTATTATTATTATTATTATTATTCTTATTCTTATTATTATTACTATTATTATTGTTATCATCATCATTATTATTATTAATATCATCATCATCATCCTTATTATTATTATTATTATTATTATTATTATTATTATTATTATTACTACTGTAATCACTATTATCAGTGTTACTAATGTACTGTCCAAGGCGTTCATCTGTGTAAGACACCACTCTTGATTTCGACATGTCCGTGTTTCCACCACAGAAGGGGGCAGAGACAACGCCAAGAACTCGACAGACGTCCAAAAATCTCATCTGGAACAACTCCAGAAGTCTTTGGATACCCTTGACCAAACCTTCGTGGATACAGACAGCGAAGACGACGACGATTTTGTGGAAGACAAGGAGGAAGAAGAGGAGGAAGAGGCAGAAGAAGAAGAGGAGGATGAAGAGGAGGATGAGGAGAGGGAAAAAGAGGAGGAAGCTGAGAGAGATGAAGATGGTGACGACAAGGAGGAGGATGATAAGGCGATGAATGATGTTGTTTATGATGATGCGCCTGCCAGTTCTTTGGCCGCCGCCTCCAACAGCGTTATCTGTGAGTGGGCATTTGTTTGTTTGTTTGTTTGTTTGTTTGTTTGTTTTTTATTTCAAAGTTGTTGGTGAGTAGGCTCAGGTTTCAGTTTATTATTGCACTGCTGGACACGTGTTTGGGAGTTTGTTGGTGTTCTATTGCTGTTAGCTTCTTTTTTTAAAAAAAAAGTAATTTCCTCTTTTAATTTCCTTTTTGTTTTCTTTGTTTTTAGCCCGGGCGTTATTGCACTTGCAACACAATCGTGTCATCAGTGAGTGGCCATTTGTTGTTTTTTTCGGGTTTTTTAAATTCTTTTTCTTTTCTTTTTTCTTTGTTTTTAGTACGGGTTTTATGGCACTTGCAACACAATAGAGTGGGAGAATATCAAAACCGTGCACTTTCGAGCAAAAACTATCAACGTCGCGCGCTATTAGAGCCACACACTTTTTTACGTTATCGATACACTTAGATTGATGGTTACCAAAACATGTAGGATCCAACAATTTAAGTACCCTCAGCCGTTTTTTTTAAAACTGAGCTATGGACCAGATATCAGTTGGATTTTATATTGAGTGAATATTAAGCTCTTCAGGTATAAAAACATATCTACAGGGGATCGTTAATGTGTTAGGGTAGAATTTTCTTGCTTATTCAGGATAAAAATTGAAGTTGTACATTTGCGTGTTACATAATTTATTCTCCCTTCTTTCTTGGCAGTGCCTTTTTGTTTGGTTTGTGTTTGTAAGTTTGATGAAGTTGCTTAACGTAGTGCAGAAAGATGAACATATTTGGATGGGGGCTGTACAGAGTAATTTTATCAAGGGATCTGTAACCGTTGGATAGAATCGGCAAGCTATGTGTTTCCATATCATCAAAAAGTGCGCGGCCCTGATAGATTCCCAATAGCGTCATGAGGGAGAGGGCATTTGTGAGACAGCGTGGTGGAATCAGGCTCTTGTCAAAATAATCAAAGTCAAGAAAATTGCATTTTTCCGCAGATTTGAGAATTTTGTATTGTATTTTTGTTTTTTGGCTGAACACCTTTCATACTCATTATAAAAAAACTCATTTCTGTGTGAATTTTTTCTGAAAAACGTTGATTAAAGCCACAAAATATGTAAATTTTCAGTTACCACGGACTCTTAAGCTAAGGAAATAACTAATCTTTGGCGGCCATTTTCTCACTAATTTTACATCTGTCTGAAAACAGCTGACCCCCACCTCTTTCATTCACAAATATCTCGACTTGTATTCAAGATAAATGAATATTTTTTTCATCCAAATAAAGACAAGTGTATAAGCTTTAAGATGATACCAATAACTCTACATGCCCAAAAATTGACGAGAGCCTGATTCTACCACGCTGCCTCACAATTGTTTGTTTTCTTATTTTTATCTTTATTTTTAGTTTGTGATTTACGGCACTTGCAACCCAAGAGCCTCACGTGTGAATGGGCACTGGTTTGTTTTGTTTGTCTTTACATTTGTCCTTTTTTTTCTCTCTTTTTTTTTAGCATGAATATTTTAGCTCTTGCAACACAGTAGCGTCATATGTGAGAGGGGATATTTGTTTGTTTGTTTGTTCGTTTGTTTTATTTTTCGTTTCTATCTTAATTTTTAGTATAGGTTTTACGGTACTTGCAACACAATAAGGTCATATATATATAAATGTGTGTATATATATATATATATATATATATATATATATATATATATATATATATATATATATATATATATAAGTCACGGAGATTAGAGGGGTTACAAGAGAGTCACAAACACAAAAAAGAAGGAGAAAGATAAAGACAATAGATGTTTGCTAGGTAAGAAGGAGCAAACCACACCAGAGCACCCTCCTATCACCCTCGAGTAGGAGTTTATTTTTACAGTTGTTGTATTAAAACACACATAGTGGGTAGTTGGTGGGTGTTCTGGTGTGGTTTGATCCCTCGTTCCTAACAAAAATTTCTTTTTGTCAGCTGATGACCTTATACTGCGAGTTGGAATGTACAGTCTTAACAGATTTGATAAATAATGATAGTGCATTATCACGGGTTTTTACCCCCATCTCTTTCACTTCTCAACGGTCATTGAATTGGGTTTATCTTTCTTCCTTCACTTCTCAACGGTCATTGAATTGTTTGATTTTTTCTAGCCTCTTTCACCTCTCAACTGTAATTTAATTGTGTGTCTTTTTTTCTTTCCTCCTTCACATCGCAACGGTCATTGAATTGGGTTTTATTTTATCCCTCCTTCATTTGAATTGGGTTCCAGCCCCCCCCCCTCCCAATCTCTGTCGCTCCTCAACGGTCAGTGAATCCATGTTGTTGTCCTTGTCGTTCACAGCCCCTCCAGAGTGGACTCGCTGGTCAGCCTGGTTTGAGGTGAACCAGTACACGCGGATGAGGACGCGGGAATGTCGCCTGGGCAAGCAACTGGCGTCTGCCTCCAACTGCAAGGGCGCTCGCATGCAGGTGACCTTTTGGATTAAACCCTGCCTAGCTAACACACAGAGATTAGCTCAAACTATTTTAAGTTCTTACGTTGGAATGTTAACCAAGCCAATTTTATTCCACAGATCTAATCCAAGTAATTATTTCTTTCAAATCCGTGTTGGCGTATACTATGTAGCGTTAAATAAATTAAAACACGTTTGCCATCTCATCTCGCCAATTATTGGCAATGTTTACTACCCAGTGTCTTTGGATTTTCCACAAAATGAGGTGGCAAAGTGTATTAAGACTTTTATATTTGGCCGGAATATTCTGGAATTTTTCAATATTAAAATATTTAGATAGGACATCGTTATGTTTCACAGATCTTCGACTTTTTATCAAATCGATCTTGGCGCCGTTTCACATAATATTGTTATATTACTGCAGTATTTTTTTATGTGAAGCGTACTGACAAAAAGAGTCACTTCTCAGATTCGAGCCATTTGGAAATAGGAACACCAGGCTTCTAGGTGAAGTTTTTAAAAATTATAAGTTGGAAATAGTAAAAGGCATGTTATACTTAAAGAGTATGGCATCAATAGAAAGTCTACAAATTTGACCCTAGTGTCGATTTTTGGCCAATATCCCCAGTTGTGGAATGCGGGAAGAAACGTATTTGGTCAGCACGCTTGACATAGTAATATGTGAGTCATCGTGGTGGAATGAGCCGCTCGTCAAAAGAATCAAAGTGAAGAAACTTGCATTTTTGCGCTGGTTTGGGAATTTTTATAGAATTTTTGTTTTTTGGCTCAACACCTTTCATGCCCATTAAAGAACTCATTTCTGTGTAGATGTTTCAGAAAAACATTGATTAAAGGCACAAAAAATGTAAATTTTATATTACGACGGACTCTTAAACTAAGGAAATAACTAATTGTTGGCGGCCATTTTCTCACTAATTTTACCTCTGAAAACAAGTATCCCCACCTCCTTCATTTGCAAATATCTCGACTTGTGTTCAAGATAAATGGGTATTCTTTTAATCCAAATAAAGACAAGTAAACAAGCTTTAAGATGATACCAATAACTCTACATGCCCCAAAATTGACGAGAGCCTGATTCCACCACGCTGCCTCACAAATGTTATGTTGAAATGTTAACCAAGCCATACATTTATTAAACAGATCTAATCTAAGTAATTATTTTCCTCTCCGTGCTGACGTATATTATGTAGCATTGTCATAAATAAATTAAGACTTGGATGTTTTTGGAGAATATTCAGAAATTATTTGATGTTAAAACGTTTAGATAGGGCATCATTATGTGTGTCATAGATCTAAGGCTTATTCTTACATTGATCTTGTTATGTTGCTGGGTTTTTTTTAAATTGTGATTTAGATATTTTTGGAGAATATCGTTGAATTGTTTAATTATTGCAACACCAACGAATCAGGCGCTCGTCAATTTCTAGGCATATGGAGTTATTGGTATAATCTTAAAGCTTGTTTATGTGTCTTACTTTCGATGAAAAAATTACCCATTTAAGTAGAATAGACCTGGTTTCAGAGGTATAATTAGTGAGAAAATGGCGGCCAGAGTTTGGTGATTACATGAGCTCGAGAGTCTTTTGAAGCTGAAAATTTGCATTTTTTCCCCTATAATCAACGTTTTCAGAAGATTCCAAGCAGAGATGTGTTTTAAATGGACATAAATGGTGTCAACCCCCCCCCCCCCCCCCAAATAAGAATTCGATACAAATTGCAAAACGTGCAGGAAGAAAAAGACAGTATCTTCGATGTCCTTATTTTGACGACCGCTTGATTTCATCACGATGCTTCACACATTTTGAACAATTTTGTTTTTTTTCTCGTCCATGTGTGGTCAGGCTATGACGTGTGAGGACAAGTCTCTGGGAATCTGTGGGCCGGCTCATGACGTCACTCAGGGGGAGGATACTGACCACGCCTTTGTCAAAGGTAAAGCTTTGGTTTGTTGGGGGAAACGTTTTACGGTGCTTGCAACCCTATCCGTTTGCCCAGGGGTCATTTTGTACCCCCCGGAGTTGTATTCTTCACATTTGAGAATACTTCTAGTACGAAGATCTCTTTGAAACTTTCAGTATTTCTCAAACAATCATTTTGACAGACTCCTATGCAAAGCGTACGGATCGGATGAATGAGTAAATTCCCTCTTTAGAAAGTGGTTGTACAGAGTTCCTTCGTCGTATGGATAACATAGTACGAGGGCTGTCCCACCGAAAACCGGAAAAGGTCCATAAAAGTAACAATCTTTGTCCTATTATAATAAAAATGTAACCCATTATACCTCAACATGTGCTTTATTTCTCTATGTAATCACCACCCCGCTGGACGCACTTTCCCCATTGCTGGATCAGGGAGGAGAATCTCTCTAAAGAATTTTTCATTATGGGATTTCAACCAATCTTTCACGTCTTCCACGAGGTCTTCATCGTCGGTGAATCGCTGTCTAGAAATATGGCATTTCATTGGTCCAAAAAGGTGATAATCTAACAGGGCCAAGTCAGGACTGTGAGGGGTGTGTGGCAGAACTTCCCAGCCGAACCTTTAGATCCAGTCTTTCGTAGCATTTGCTGTGTGTGGCGTTGCGTTGGCATGCTGCAAAATGAATCCGCTGGACAACAGGCCGGGTCTTTTTCGGCGCACAACCTCTCTCAGCTTATCAAAGGTCTGGTAGTATATGTTAACATTAACAGTTTGTCCTGGTTCCAGAATGTCAAGAAGCAAAACACACTTGGCATCCCAGACAACCGTGGCCATGAGTTTCTTCAGCGATGGCTGAACTTTAAACTTTTTCAGGGGAGGTGAAGATGTGTGCTTCCAAACCATTGAATCCCTCTTCGTCTCAGGAGTCATGTGGTGTATCCAAGTCTCATCACCTGTAATAATGCTTCTCAGGAATGCTTCAACGTATTGTTGGAGGTCTCCAGATGCATTCATGACTCCCGTGACAGCTTGAAGACCACGATTCAACAAAGTCTGAGACACTTCAAAACGTTGCGTCTTGTGGTCAGCTGTCAGCTTTTTTGGGACCCATCGAGCAGAGACCTTTCGATAGTGCAGCTTATCAAACACTATCCTATGGACAGTCGGCTTTGAAATGTTTAGCGACTGGGAAATTTCGCAAATTTTTCGGCGCGTGTCTGTGTTAATGAGTTCGTTAACGCGACTCCTGTTGTCTTCAGTCTGGGCAGAAAAACAAGGCCCTGGGTGAACTTTGTCATTGACATCCGTATGCTGGGCTTTGAACTTACTACACCACTCATATACCTGTGATTTTGCCATTACTTTTTCCCCGTAAACTGACTTTATTTCAGTGTGTATTTCTGTAGGTTTGAGACCTTTTGTGGTCAGAAACCGAATGACAGGCCTCACTTCTACCCTTGACCAATTTTCAAATGGGGTAGCCATCTTTGGAGAACTGCTGTGTTCGTTTGGTTTGTGCGATGCTCATGGTGCTCGATCAGGAAATTTCTAAATGATTGTTTTACAAGTGTGCGTTTACAGAATGGGAAAATATTGAATAGTTTTCAAATTACAGACAAATTCCGGTTTTCCGTGGGACAGCCCGTAAAACACGACGTACGGAAAGAGTTAAGTGGTGGCACAGAGTTCCTCACGTCGTATGGATGCGGTGGTAAAACGCGACGAACGGATATGGTAAAGGAGATTATTGTGAGTGCTCTGAAAGGTAGACATAGCAGATGGATGTGAGGGTCAGAGAAACATAAAATAAAAACAATACATATGTGTGTGTGTGTGTGTGTGTGTGTGTGTGTGTGTGTGTGTGTGTGTGTGTGTGTGTGTGTCTGTATGTGTGTGTGTCACTACATGGTGGAATCAGGCGCTAGTCAATTTGTGGGCATATAGAGTTATTAGTATTATCTAAAAGGTTGTACAACTGCCTTGCTATAGATTTTAAAAAACATCCATTAAAAAAAAAAGTCGAGATATTTGCAGTTGAAGGAGGCGAGGTCACCCTGTTCCAGAAGTAAAATTAACGAGATAGTGACTGCAAAAGTTTGGTAATTTTCATAGTTTAAGAGTCCTTTGAAACTGCAAATGTATATTTTTCGTGCTTTTAATAAACAGTTTTCAATAAAATCTACACATAAAAGTGTTTTTGAATGGACGTACAAGGTGTTGAGCCCACAACCAAAATTTCGAAAAACAAATTTCCAAATTGGCCGAGAAATGCCAATTTCTTCTATTTCATTATCTTGACGAGTGCCCTATTTCACCAAGATGTCTCTCTCACACACACACACACATACACACACACACACACACACACACACACACACACACACACACACACACACACACATACACACACAAACATATATATATATATATATATATATATATATATATATATATATATATTATGTATATATATTACTGGATCCCGTGTCATAGACAGATGGCGCAGTTTCTTGTCGCCCAAGGACGCCAGACCAATTTGATGAAATGGAAAATGTCAGGACGTGGTGGACTCAGACGCCTGTCAATTTCCGGCCATGAGGAGATGTTGGTGTCATCTCAAAGCTTGTTCATGTGTCTGTCTTTGGTTATTATAATATACACCTATCTTCGTCTATCTTGAAGTCGAGATATTTGAGACTGAAGGAGGAGGGGGGGGGGGTCGCCTGGTTTCAGGGGTAAAATTAGCGGAAAAAATGGACGCCGAAGTTTGGTTACGTCCAAAGCTTGAGAGTCCTTGGAAACTGAGAATTTTTTGCGCCTTTTATCAACCTTTTTCAGTAAAATCAACACATGAAAGGACACAAAAGGTGCTGATAAAAAGACATTTTTAAAAAAGCGACAAAAATTGTCAAACGGATGGAAAAATGCTGATTCTTTTAATTTCATTTTTGACAAGTACCTGATTTCACCAGGGTGCCACGCATTAATTCAAAAGGCTATTTCTGACAGTTCTTCATTTAGCTGAGATTGCAAGCCCTGAACTTTAGAACTTGTGAGAACAAAGATGAAATTTTCTTCATACAGCAAGATTAAATATGATTATTCTGAGGAAAATATTCTATAATAACCCACCCAGCAGACGGTTTCAGATAATATTGTCCTAAATATTCCTAAAGTAGGAAATTGTATCAGCTCGTCTGGGTGTGCTGTTTTCAAATAGGAAAGTTACAGATTGCCATCTTTCCATGCCAACAGTTTTTTTTTCCATAGTAGAGGGTTTTACGGCGCTCGCATCTGCATAAGGTCATATGAGTGCCAAATGCCAACCGTTGTTTGTTGTTGTTGTTGTTGTTGTTGTTGTTGTTGCTGTTGTCGTTGCTGTTGTTTCTCTTGTTGCTGTTGTTGTTGCTACTGTTGTTGTTGGTGGCGGTGTTGTTATAGTTGTTCTGCTGTTGTCGTTTCGTTGGGTTCTTTTGTGGTTAAGAAAGAATTTGATGAGAACAAGTGAATGTATGGATTTAACATTGTCAAAAGTATTTCTACGAGTTAGCACCCCTATCAACACTGTTAGGTTATTTACAAGGCAGGACTTCCGTCTGAATTTAACGTCCATTTCCGATGGTGCCAGGCCAAAGGGAAGGAGAGAGTTAAAAACTCCATAGGCCACCGGGGATAAAAAACGACTACATATAGTTTGGAATTCGAACAAGGGCAATCCATTTGGTAGTTCAACATGGTCGCTTTGAAGGACAAGCGGGCTAACACAGATGTCGGGGGTTTCCAGAAATCTTGACCTACACCAAAGTGAGCATTGCCCTACCTTTTAGAGAAGTTTGGTTTCATTGGTGTGTATACTTGTTTGGTTATAGAGAAAACTCTCCTTGTCTTAAAAAAAAACTGAACAAGGGGAAAAGACTTTACCTTCGATTTTCTCAAAACAGCATTTATCGGGATAGCCCCCTTGTGCTTAAAAGCGACCACATGATAACGACTGAGCTGATGGACCGCCCAGACTTAATGAAGTGTAATCATACGTCCTTCTGATATTGTACACCTCTGGGCCCGGACTTTTGTTGTTGTTGTCGTTGTTGTTGTTGTCGTTGTTATTGTAATTACTTACTTGTTTTGGGGGTTTTGGTTTGTTTTTGTTTTTATTTTTTACCTTCTTAATGATTTCACCCATGTCCTCCTCAATAGGTATGATAACACCAGTAAAGGAAAAAAAACCAAGACAAAACAACAACTAATCATTTAGGAAAAAATTCAGTAAGAATTCAACCTCGGGCAAACATTTATGTCAGTATTTTCGACCTCATTATTACGACGAGCGTCTGATTTCCCAACGACGCAACAGACAACAGTTTAAATTGATCGCTTTTAAGCATAAAGGGACTATCCCTAAAAAACGCTGTTTTGAGAAAATCGAAGTTAAAGTTTTTGCCCCTTGTTCAGTTTCTTTAAAAAACAAGGAGAGTTTTCTCTATAAACAAACACATTTAAACACACCAATGAAACCAAACTTCTCCTATAGGTAGGGCAATGCCCACTTTTTGAGTAGATCAAGGTTTCTGGAAACCCCCGAAATCTGGTTTAGCCTGCTTGTCCTAGCGACAATTTATGACAAGACCAAGGTCGACGAGTGAGTCAGAGTCTCGTGAACGCAGGAAGAGAAGAAGGAGTCCACAGGGCAGTAGTGAGCGACCATCACCGGTTGGCAGTTCATCGTTTATCGACCAAGCTCTGAATTATTCAAACTTTGACCGTGTCACATGCTCCATTGAACCTGCAGTAACTCCCACTTGTATAAGACTACAACATGTGCAAACGGCCACTTGTATAAGACAACCACCTGTACTAACGGTCACTTGTATAAGAAAAGCACCTGTACTAACGGCCTCTTGTATAAAACAACCACTTACTCTAACGGCCACTTGTATAAGACAACCACCTACATAAACACCTTTTTCCATTTCTTCCCTTGAGTATTTTTATATAAGAGTAACCCTGTGTAATACAATCACCTGTACAAATGACCATTTCCTCTTTCTTTCCTTGAGCATTATTTTACATTATAAAGCCAGTGCGAGAGACTGCGCCTGTATAAGACAATCAAAAATAATAATAAGTAATGAAGATCATTTCTAGAGCGCCCACTACCGTGTAAACACAGCTTTGGGCGCTTTACATAAATGCATGTACGAACAATATTCACGCACGCGACAAACACACGCACACACACACACACACACACACACACACACACACACACACACACACACACATATACACACACATCTACGGCAATGTCCGTATGTACATGTATGTTCCTCACATCACCCAGGTGGGAATGGGTACACGACCATAGACAGCGAAAGGTCTTGTCAGTATGTTAGTGTTTTAGCGCCAATAAATGGCTGCTTGCTCTGTATCCTTCCCAGAAAGTTGAGGTTGTTTCAGAATTCTCTCAGAACTGCTGGAATTGTGAAGCACATATATACAGCTCGCTGTTGAACGGGGATTTGCGCTATACAAAATGCTATCTATCTATCTATCTATCTATCTATCTATCTATCTATCTATCTATCTATCTATTTATCTATAAATCTATCTATCTATTATTATTCTATTTTTTAAATTATTATTACTATTATTATTATTAATATTATTACTAATATTATTATTACTACCGTTCCATCGTTTCTTCCAGTCAGTCGATTGTACAATCAATCAATCCGTGTTTCTGTCACGTTGAGCCACGGATACACGTGCGTTTATTTCTTTATGTCACGGTGGAATTAAGCGCTCGTCAATTTTGGGGTACATAATGGACTTCTCGGGATCATTGTAAAACCTGTCTGTTTGTCTTGATTTTGATGGATAACTAACCATCTATCTTGAATACTTATTCGTACGTCGAGTTTTACTGTCGTATCCACACGACGTGGGGAACTCTGTGCCACCACTTAACCCTATCCATACGTCGAGTTTTACTATCGTATCCATACGACGTGGGGAACTCTGTGTCACCACTTTCAAAGTGGAAATGTACCCGTTAATCCGATCCGTACACTTTGCATAACAGTCTGTCAAAATGATTTTTTGAGAAATACTGAAAGTTTCAAAGAGATCTTCGTGCTAGAAGTATTCTAAAATGTGAAGAATACAACCGCGGGGGGGGGGGGGGGCAAAATGACCCCAGAGCGTACGGATAGGGATAAAAGTCGAGGTACATGCATTCCCAAGTGATTGAGGTGTTGTAGCCAAGTGTCAAAAATAAAATTACAGAGAAAACGGCAGCCAAAGTTTGGTGAGCTTGAGTGTCTTGAAATTCATATCTTTTGTGCCCTTGATTGATCAACGTTTGTCTGTAAAATCCACCCAGAAATGAGTTTTTAAATTCACATAAATCGTGGAGACAAAAAAAGACACAATTTGCCCTACAGATGGAAAAAATGTCAATTTTTTCGATTTTATTTATTTAAGTTTTTTACAAGTGCCTTTTTTTACCACATTGATCCACATTCGAACAGCACCTAAGTAACATTCTCTTGTTTAAATCTTTAAAAGTTTCATGTCAAAATATTGTACGTGGATGGTTGGAGGGTGCCACTGGTAAGCTCTACCTTTCTTTCCCACTTTTCTTTCTATTTGTTAGTCTTGCTTTTTTCCCTCACAAAAATGGCCGTCATTGTGTTGATGTTCTTCTCTTGGCCTAAATAAACAAACAAGCAAACAAACAGACAAACTGGCGAGCAAACAAACAAACAAACAAACAAAACGTTGCACAAATACACCTACCAAAATTAAAAATATAATGTAAAGCGCTTAGAGCCTGCTGTCGAGCGGGGACATGTGCTATACAAATGCTACTGTATTATTATTATCATTATCATTATCATTATTA